AAACAAGCCGAAACAAAGGGAACAACCTGAAGACTGGAGGCTGAGGACAAACGAGGCGTCGCCCACTCAGCAGTCAGTGTCAGAAACAGGAGCTTCGCTTTGACATTCAAGGACTCGTTCTGCTCACAAAAACCAAACCAGCTGCACCTCAGAGTGGAAAACTAAAGCCGCCGTGCCCTCCACACAAAAGGCCAAACACCTGGCGTGTCCCTGCTCGGTTCAGAAGGTTTGGTGGGTCCAGAACGGTTCAGAAGTTGGAAAAAAATGACTCGAAATGAGTCCAAAACAATTCAGAGGTTCTGCAAAGTGGCTCAAAACTCATCCACAATAACGTAAATGTGTCCAAAATGACTTAATACATGTACAAAGTGACAAAACAAACGCTCAAAATGACTAAAATGTGGTACAAAAATGACTCTGAATGTGTATAAAATGGCTTGAAACTTGTCCAAATTGACAGAATTTATCCAAAATAACTAGACTCATGTCCACAGGGATCAAAATATGTCCCAAATGATTTTTTAAAAAGTCCACAATGGCTCAAAATTTGTCTAGAATGACTTAAAAATTGCCCAAAATGACTCCAAATTTCTCCAAAATAACAAGAATTGTCCAAAATGACCCAACATTAGTGAGAAAACGACTCAAACCTTGTTAACAATGGCTCAAACGTTGTCTAATGGAACCCAAATTGCCAAAACAATTATCCAAAAGGACAGAAAAATGTCAAAATGACCCAAGACTTCAAGAAGTCAAAGTAGCTCAAAATCTTTCCACAATGACATAAATGTGTCCAAAATGACTCGAAATTAGTCCAAAGTTAGACAAAAAGTGTCTAAAAAGATTCAGAAATTGTGCAAAATCGCTCAAAACATGTTCAAAATTAAACAAAACGTGTTCAAAAAGAGAAATATTTGTTCAAAGTGACTCAAAATTAGTGCAAAACGACCCAACATTTGGAGAACCACTTCAGGTTCCCAGAGGAACATTATTTGGGTTTTTTATGGACGTGTTTTGAACAAGTGGTTTCGTACCTTTTATATTAACTCAACTCTTATCTCCACCTAAACACCAGCGGCAGCTTCAACACGTTCCAGCTGCAGTAAACAAAAGCAGAAACACTTCATCAGTCGCGGTTCTTTCCTCCGTCTGACCTCCGTCATTACCGGCGAGGTGTGTCAGCTAGCGTAGCGCTTCGCTAACCGCCGAGACGCTCATCCATTTAAAACCTATTACAGCCACACAGACGCATCGCCGAGGTCATTAGGAGCCAATTAGAGGCGCTGCTCGGGACGCTCGACGCTTCGCCGCGAATCTGGGTCGACAAACACGCGAGTTATTGATGTCGCTCAGGACGGGAACCGACAGACGCAGCAAACAGCAAGGTGTGCCGTGATGGATGGACTCAGGTGTGTGAAGCTCCGCCCCCTCGCTCTGTGGAGGCAACGGAGGAAGAAACTGAACTGAGATCAGTCCAGGGTTCGTCTGAAGCTCCTCCACTGCTCTCACTTTTATTATCCTGAATACTACCAATAACACTACTGGTACTACTGAGAAGACATTTTTTAAAACTACTGAGGCACCTTTACAGTGTTTTAGTGTCTGTTTAAGGTTCTTTTTGGAACTAAAAATGGTTCTTCTTTGGCATCACTGGTCCCAGTTAGAACCAGTCGTAGTGCATTTGTTAACCATAAAAAATGAGGAAATGGAAGATGAAATACAGTTTTTTCTGATAATAAATGAGAAAAACTAAGACTTAAACAGTATAATACATAATGAGGCACCTTTAGGTTCCCACAACGTTGGATAACGTCTCCCACAAGTTCTAACGATGTCCTATGTTTACATCAAAACATGTTTTGAGAACATTTTAATTGCCAGTAATGTTCCTGTAGAGTCAATACGTTCAGAGGATGTTTTATAAGAACCAACGAGGAACAACCGTCTAGAAATGTTGTCCAGATGGACGGTAGAACACGTTCTGTTAAGAACGTTCATCTGGAAGATGTTCTGGGAACATTTTGGGTTTGTTGTTGAGGGAACATGTCGTAGAACGTAACGTGATGCATAAACAAAAGGTGGAACATTCTGCCCGCGATGTTCTGAAGATGTTCTGGGGATGTTGCTGAGGGAACACGTTAAAGAACGTCCTGTAGAACATCCTCACAATGTTCTACGACAAGAAAAGGAAGAACGTTCTCAAACCAAGACGTTGATGTTTTGGGTTTGTTGTCGAGGGAACACCTTCTAGAAATGACGAAATGTTCCACGTAAACAAAGGAACAGCGTTCTCAGTTCAACGTACAGTTTTGAGAACGTTGGTGCATAACGTTCTAACAACCACAAATTTTTAGTTCTCCTACTTTGATAAAAACTTCCCACTGAAAATATTAGTAGAACTTTCGCAGAACGCTTCCGGAACAAACAAACAAAGAACACTCGCTGGGTGAGCGTCTGAAGACATTGTTCTATAAAGAAGAACATGTCCTCTTGCTAAAATGTTCTTCTTGGAGCTACAAATGGTTCACCGTCAGCATCACTGAGAAGAACCAGTTTTGGTTCCAGTTAGAACCTTTATATTCAGCAGTCGAATCACATTTCTGCTTCAACCTTTAAGTCAGAAGACAGAAGAGAATGTTTTTCTAATCCTGCTCTGTGACTCATAAATAATAATATCAGACAATAAACGTGGTGTGTTTATGAACACTACGGGGGGAAAGACGGACAAAACAATATTGTTTATCATAAGAAAAAGAAGGATTAAATAAAAGTTGCTGAGAGGGAACCCGTGGTTCCGTTTGGGTTTGGTGGAGAATTACGATCCTGCGCCTCCGGTGATGCAGACTGAAGGTCTCAAGTTGGGAGTTTTATTGCAAATTATTTGATTCAAAGGGACAAAAACACATATTAGCATGAAAAAGTCAAAGTGTGTCCTCATGTAGTCAGAACCACGCCCCTGTTCTGACTAGAAACTGGTTCTGGCTGTGGTTTAGCTCCAGATTCCAGAGTTCTGACACCTTTCACCTGCTTAAAGCTGTCATGAGTGTATCCGCCAAGAACAAGCAGTACTTCCCCGTTCTGACTCTGAGTACTACAAGGTCATGGAAGTGCAGGATTACATAACTGTAGTACATCAGTAGGTTTCCCTGGATTGGATTGTATGTGTATTTATGTGGGGTTTTAACTTTCGGTCTAAATTGGTCA